TTTAAGACGGAGTTTCGCCATGTTGGTCAGGCTGGTCTTGAACTCCTGACCTCAGGTGATCCACCCGCCTTGGCCTCCAAAGTGCTTGGATTACAGGCGTGAGCCACCACGCCCGGCGGGATTTTTTTTTCTTACTAACCTTTTTCATGCCATTTCAGCAGCTGTTTGTACTGGAGGTTAGTCAGAAGTCTCTAACCTCCAAGCCAGATCACCAAATCCTCCCCATCCTATCTCATTATAGTATTTCCCCATATACTCTTTCAGCATGAACAGTTTGGGTTGCCTTTTTCCTAATTCAGTTTTAAAATAGTAATTCCATTTGGAGATGGAACAGACATCGAGACTTGTAATTCTTTACCTGAGATCTTAGTACTCTTCCTTCCTATTCCCCAGTTTCCCTACTATAGCTTATCCAGCATCCAGATGTGGTTAACTGATTCCAATTCCTGAAGCTGTGACATTCTCTGCATACCTAGAAGCTCTTAATGAGGGAGTCTATAAAAGCTATGGGGAGAACTAGCTTCCTCAGCTGTAAATCTGTACCTTTTTATGGTTCTCTAGGATTATTCTCTTTTTTTTTTCTATTCTCTAAACTGCCCAGACCCCCCCCCCCCATCCCTTAAGAACTGCTGAAGATAGAGGCTAGAAGATTCTGTGGGGATGAGGGCTATAGGAAGGAAGGTGTGAATAAGGGCAGGACTTCTTGGTTTTGAGTCCTCTTGCTGTGTCAGACATGAGGAGTGAGGAACTTAAGGGAGGATAACTTTTTTCCTGTTCTCTTATACGGAGGGCCTCTGGCAATGCCAGTTATTTCTTATTATTGGAATCCCCCCAGAATTTCTCTTGCCATACCCAGGCTTTTCTTGTTTTTCCCTCCAAAGGGATTGAAAATTCCAGTTTCACATCTTTGCAGATTCTTTGAGGCCAAGGTCTTCCCAACTTTCTTGTTATCTCTTTCCCCTATGTTGTTCCTGTATTTAGGTTGCTACCTCTCGGATCACTTTTAATAGGATAGATTTAGAATGTAATACTGTTTAGCTGGGCACAGTGGCTGACGCCTGTAATCCCAGCACATTGGGAGGCTGAGGCGGGTGGATCACCTGAGGTTGGGAGTTGGAGACCAGCCTGACCAAATGGAGAAACCCCGTCTCTACTAAAAATACAAAATTAGCCGGGCGCGGTGGCTCAAGCCTGTAATCCCAGCACTTTGGGAGGCCGAGGCAGGTGGATCACGAGGTCAAGAGATCGAGACCATCTTGGTCAGCATGGTGAAACCACCACGTCTCTACTAAAAAAAAAAAAAATACAAAAAATACAAAATTAGCCAGGCGTGGTGGTGCCTGCCAGTAATCCTGGCTACCCAGGAAGCTGAGGCAGGAGAACCGCTTGAACCTGGGAGGCAGAGGTTGCCGTGAGCTGAGATCGCGCCATTGCACTCCAGCCTGGGCAACAAGAGTGAAACTCGGTCTCAAAAAAAAAAAAAGAATGTAATATTGTTTGGATTGTTTAGCAATTATTTAGATTTAATTTCTTGTTCTACCACAGTAGCTCTGAGACCCTGGGCAGATAATCATTCTCTTTATAGACTATGCCAAAAGGAGCCCCATTGTGAAGGTTGCTATGTGAATTAAGTGATATTCTCATATCATGTATTCACACTACAATTTGTTTACCATAATTTGCATAGTAATCATTCAATAAGTATTGGTTCTGAATCTTACTAGGTGATCAGGGTACAGTGGAAATACATGTTTCTTTCCCTGAGTAGGTTCTGGCTGGGGTAGGGGGTGTGAGTGCCCTAGTTTGAACATGTGCATACACCCAATTATGCAGTTGTATTTGGAGAAAAAGAAAAGGCACAGTCCCATTTGCTCCCTCAATCCCAGCTCACCTGCAGGAAAGCCGACATTGTTGCCTGGAACATTGACTTTCCTGCTTCTACCCCACTACAGACCAGAAGCTATAAATGCCACTGCCTGCTGATTCTCAGCTTGGGGCCTCTGCCATTTAAAATATGGGCAAAGGCAGAGTATAGGATAACTTCTCATGTACTTCGTTGGAGGATGTTTTAGGATAAAGACTTGTAAAAAATCATCTTGAGTAGTCTCTTTTGGGTGTTCTCTCAACACAGGAAACAAATGAGCAATAGGGAGAGAAAACCCATTTTCAGCTCAGGCCAAAGTTAGGGGTAGGTATGGATGTAGTTCCCTTGGGAAGATAGAATACGTAACACTTCTGCTACTCAACCAGTTCCAGCCTCAGTTTTGTATTTGGTCTTGGGTGGGGTCAATGTGCTGATAGAACTGACAGGACAGGGAAAGCATAGCAGTACGTTGAACCCTCAGTAGCCCTGTCCCCAATTCTGGATCAGGTTGATGTAACAGGAGCTTTTCTTATTTTTATTATGTATTTTTTAGAGACAAGGTCTTACTATGTTGCTCAACTGGAAATACAGTGGCAATTTACAGGCCCAATCATAGCACACTACAGCCTTGACCCTCTGGTCTCAAGCGGTCCTCCTGCCACAGCCTCCTGAGTAGCTGGAACTACAGGAGCACTCCAGTGGGCCCTGTTTTCCTTATTTTTTAGAAATGTGAGTCAGGCAATATTCTTTTGCCATTCCCAACTCATATGCCCTGGGAATTATGCTCTAGGTACATGGGAAAAATTTTCACAGTGAACTGAAAGAATGTTGGAGATGCTGTTGTAGCCACTCTTGTGTAACAAGGCAAGTTGGATGGCTGTGTTGCTTTACAGATTTTGGTCAAACTTTGTTGAGGAAACCTAGGAACAGGTACTGTAGGAGAATAGGACAGACACTAGCTGGGTCATCTTAAGAGAACCTTTGGATCTTCCATTCTGTGGAGGCCGGAAGAGGGTTTTGTAAACTTTGGGACTGTTTTGGCTCAAGCTTTTCAGAGAGGGGTTGTCCTAAGTGCCCCCTCTTTCCTGTCCTCTGCCCATCCTTCCTTGGCCTGCATGTCCCAAACCTCATACCACCATGCCCTTAATGTTTTCTGTTTTGCTCCAGGATGCCATCTTCTTAGTCATTGAATACAAGGTTTCCTATCTCAGATCCTCTTCACCTTCTCGTCTCCAAGGTGTAAATGTGGCACGTGATTAGGGAGAAGAGCTCAGCACTGAATTCTAAACTCTTTGACCACTTTTATTTTTTTTTTCAGGTTCAAGTGCTGGATTGTGTCATGTGACCATCCCAAAACTCAGAGCACCCTATGGCCATCTTTGCCCTCTGTCACATAACTTGAAAACTGCCTGATGGCCTTTTTGCAGTGGTTCCCTCCAGGAAGCCTTGATCTCAGTTGAAGAAGTTCTTTCCCGGCATTCCAATGCCCGTCAGCTTCATACTACTCAGACACCCTTAACAAAGGCTGTCACACACACAATGTAACAAATACACAAAGTAAATGATAATTACACTAACAATTATATGTTCAGAGGGGCACTGGCCAGGTCCACACACATCATAAGGTGGGAGGGGGTGCTAACTCCCACTGGGTTGCTGAGCTGTGCCCCCCAAGCCCCTAGACTCCATGCCTCTTTGGGGGTAGGGAGGAACAGGGGAATGAGACTTTAGCTCATAGATTTATGTTCATAAGGGAAAGACCCCCCTGACACACACACAAAGGTCTTTATTTGGTGGTATTAAAGGGGCAGTATTCTAAGTGTCCCCCATATTTAATGCCCCAGTTCTCTAGAATCTGTGGAGGGAAGATACCTGATGCTTACTGCCCAACTGCTACTCTGTGCCAAGATCACAAGGCATTTGACCTTGGAGGGAGATATCATCTGCTCTTCTCTGTTTCTTTCCTTCCACCAAGAAAATGTGAGTGGTATTGATGGCCGGGTGTGTCATGTTTTCCAGAATTCGGGCAGAAGGATGAAGAACAGCCAGAGAGGCTTGGGGTTATCATAGCTGCTACATGGGAGAAGGCAAGCTGAAAAGCCTAACAGCCCCTGCCCATTCCTCTACTGAAACACCTTGTTTCACTTTCTTACTATAAGAATAGGAATAAGATGTTAAAGCTCACCAACATCACCTTCTCAAGGGTGGTGACATACCTTTCCCCTTCCACCAACTGGCCAAGGGGGAGAGTCATGCTCTTGGGAAGAATGAGCCATCCAGGTTTGCTCACTAGCTTGGGCTTTAGTTCAGTACTGTTTTTATCAGACCCGTAACTGCTGGCTCTACTTAGAGTGACAGTTTTGCTGAAGGTTCTTACCCCCACCTCTCCTGACATCCTCTAAGCTCTTGCCTGGAGCCAAGAGGCCTGGTGGTGAAGTAAGGATAGGGTGTGGATCAGGAGATTCTCAACTCCTTGGCTTCTAGGCACTGTCCAGCTGGGAGGCAGAGGGGAACTTGTACTCTGAAGCCTGTGACTCCTCTTAAGCCTCACATCTCTTCACCACTACTCTGGTGCCCTGGTTATCTGTCCCACAGCGAGAGGTATTTTATGTCCATAAAGTGCCCGTGGTAAGTGCTCAGAATTCATCTCTTGGCTGTGGCGGGTGCTGCTATTTCTCATTCCATTGAGGGGAAGAAACTGAGGCACAGTGAGTCCAGAGGAGAATGGGTCAGGATTGTGAGAGGAAAGAATGGGCCTAGCTAGTGACTTGAAATGGCAACCAGTCTCTGCCTGCTTCCTAGCCTTCCAAACCCAACAGTCTCCCATCCATCCCATCCTCTGTTCTAACTGGCCCTGTCAGATGCTTTTCCCCACTCTACTTTCCCCTCCCTGCTGCCAGGTACTGTTAGATTCCAAAAATAAAAGGAAAAAATAATTATACGCTCTGCTTCCTTGTTCTCCCCCCTTCCACCCTGAGCTTTGGGGTTAGGGGACTAAAATGTCCCCCTTCCAGAATCCCTCCCACCTTGGTCTGCTGGCTCTATTCCCTAGCCCAGAGCAGTGATTTGGATTCAAATGCCCTGTAACTTTCAGCCTCCTTACTGCTCCTTTCTTGACCCCTCCTAACACTTCCCATACCCAGGGGACTCAGGGGTCTCTGTACTCTTTCTTACTGACCTGAAGATAGAGGCTGGGAGCAGGGCCATTCCAGAGGCTCTTTGGTCTCTCTCTTGGCTGAGGGAATTTGGGCATAAGCAGGCTGTACCCTCTGGCTAAATAACTCAGTATCAAGAGGGTAGGCCTAAGGGTTTAAAGTAGCTCTCATTATATAGATCCTGGATGTTGAGGGTTCTCTCTCCCATCCCGCATCCCCAGCTCTTAAACCCTAACCTCTTACTATTTCCATGACAACTGGCTTCAATTCAACTCATTTGGCTCAGAAAAGGTTTGACTTAGGGTGATTATGGGTTAGAAACTTCCATGTGTCAGCCCTCTTGCCCTTTACTCCCATTCCCAACCCTGGAGGCTTTATACAAGTGCTTAAGTGGGCAGGTGTTGGGGAGTGCAAGGTTTGGGGAATAAGGGATAAATGGGGCACAGTGGGCAGGGGCCCTCCTATTCCAGTAAAGCCAAATACCAAAAAAAATGAAAAGTCACAATAAATAAATAAATAAAAATTCCCAAATCCTTTTGCCCCTGCCCTTACTTCCCTTCCTCTGGCCACAGTTGGAGGGAGAGAAGGAAGAAAGAATGGATTTTTGATTTCTTCTCCTACTGAGTAGTCAGGGAATCTCCCCAAACTATACCAAGCCCCTCACCTTGCCAGTGGAAGAAAGGAGGCTTGGTGTGGGGCTTTCATTTATTACTCCATTTCAGTCTCTTTCTCGTGTTTTGTCTCTGCCTAGTCTGTCTCTTCTCTCTTTCTTTGCCTTCTCACTGCTGCTCTTTTTGTTCCTCTGTCTCTCTCCCTCTGTCTCTACATCTCTCTGTCTTCTGGTCAAACCTTCTCATTTGCAAACTTCAAACACTCCCCACCCTGACTATGCCCTTCCTTCCCGTTTCCCCCAAACCCCTCACCCCTCAATTCCCACCTGCCTCCCTCTGTTGTATTGCACGCTGCTTGGTCAGGGAACAAGGTGTGATGTTCACGGAAGAGTGGAGGGAACTCTAGGGCTTGGGGGAGATGGGGACAGGGCTGGGGTCTTGGGGTAGGGTCTGTGGGGAGGCATCCTTTATCCCCCACCTTAAGAGCAGCCACAGCGATCCACCACCATGCCAGGGATCTTGCCGTAGATAATCTGCTGCTTGTCATTGAAGTAGAGCATGTTGATTGGGGACATCTTGGTGGGGGTACAACAGGGCCCAGCAGAGCCTCTTGGATTGGCCTGTTGCACCAAGTGGGTATGCGGATATTTTTGCATGAACATGTACTCGCACTGGCCGGAGCAGTAGTTGGCTTTGTAGCGCTTAGGTGCGATGATCCAGTCCCAGCCGAAAGCCTCAAAGTCCACTGTGAGGGGATATCGGCAGCAGCGGGACTCACTTGAGTGCTCGTCGCAGTCCAGACCCAGGTTCCGTCGGGAACGTTTTGTGTTCTCTAGGACTCGAAGCTCCATGAAGGGATGCTGAGGGTCAGGGAGAGGGGAAAGAAATGTGATATGGCCTTGAACAGTTCCTCTTCCCTGTTCCTTTCCCACCTGCCAGTGGCATCAGAATAGAGACTGCTGACTTCTCAGCTTTTCCATAGCTCCCAACCCCAGAATTTGTCTTCTGCCTACTTTTCTTGCCAGCTAGCTAGCTCTGCTTCAGCTCACCATCTCTAATTCTTCCTCTTCTGGCAACCTGACCCCCATCAGCCCCTTGGTCCAACACCTCAATAGCCAGGTTTTGTGTTCTTACAGCCCTTCCATTAACTGACACTTTCACCTTCAAATCCAATTTTCAGCTGTTGTCTGGTTTGGATCCTTGAAAAGTAATAGTTGCCACCCCATTCCTCAACTCCTCCTCTAAAATCAGCTCCTGACCCCAGAGAAGTAATGCTAGTCCCCAACCTCCTTCACATTCCTTGTCTACCTTTTCGAACGTACCCCCATCTCCTCAGGGCCAGGTTACATATATCCACCACCTCAGGCCCCCTGCTCACCAGCCCCTCAGCTCCCGGCCCTAGGGAGGTGACAGCCAGGTCTGTGCCACTGGGATCAAAGGCGTTGATCTCGATGCCCCAGTTGCTCTGTGGCTGGCGGAACCAGCTGTGAAGCACTTGCTTGAAGTCGATGCTCTGCCAATGGCCTGAGCGTGAGTGCAGCTCTATCTTCAGTGAGCGGATACGGATGTGACGCCGGCCTCCGCCCCCTCCCCCTGCGGTCCCTTCCCCAGTTAGGGGTTTTAGACGCAAGATCTGCAGGTAGACTGTGGCTGGGCGGGGTACAGGCCGTAGGTACACCCACAGCTGGGCCTTCAGTACCTTTGTGAACATCACCTTGGGGCTGAAGTGAAAATGGCAGCAGAGAGGGCTGCCATCTGTCTGTACTGCTGGGTCCGCTGATAAGAGAGAAGGGCACAGCATCAGCACAGGGTGTTTGTGTAGGGGATCAGTAGTCCTGGGGCACTGGCAATTTGGACTTCTCAGCCTGACTTTTCCAATTCTTCTTTACCCTTCTCTCATGCCTATCTTATACCATGTCTCTGGTACCTAAAACAGCACTTCCTCTATAGGATGATGGCCCTATCAAGCCCTACTGGTCTGTGTTCATTTCCTAATCCACTTGCCCTAATATATAGGTTTCCATCTACCAGATAACCAGCAAAATTATTCCTCTACCACCATCCTTACTGTCCTCCAACTTTGGCATGTAAGGCTCCAACATTTTCTGAATTTTTGAAGCTCTTTATTGCTTCACACCTGTGGCCCTTAGGTAACCTTGCCCCCTATCTGCTCTGATTTATGTGATGGGCATGTAGAGCCTGGCACATCCCTCCCCCACCACCCCAGAAAACAGCCGCAGAGAGGGGATAACCCAGGGTCCAGATAGGGAGCATGGGCTAAATTTATCCCATTAAGTAAACCAGAATTCAGATCTAGGCTTCTTGCCTCACTCTCATTAGGAATAACACCCAGCAGAACATCCAAGCACTTCCTGTACATCTATCTCCCCATTGCCTCTCCTAAGAAGTTTCTTTAGTTGCTGCTTCATCATCATCACCATGACTGCCCCAGCTTTTGAGGAAAGGAATAATTACCTCCAAGGTGTTGCCTCCTATTTGCCCAAAGCACTAGAAATAATATGAAACACACCAGATCAACTATAATGCCTTTTTCTCCCCTGAGCTTCCTTTGGTTTCTCAGTCTAGTGCTAGTAGGTCTTTACAAAGTTTTAGCATCCCAACTTTACATTTTGACCCATTTCCCTTTGCCCTGGACCATAAATTGATCCTTCTTGGGTCTAATGGATGATTCTCAATAAATATCTGCCTCTGCTTCCATTCCAGCTCCTCTTCACTGCCTTTCCAGTGTCAGTTGGGAGTGCCCCACAGCATGCCTCCACTGGACAGAATATGTCTATCCTCACTCTGGATAGGAAGAATCAGGAATGAGCTTCCAGAGCCATATAAGTAGGGTCAGGAAGTCTAGGCCTTTAAGTATCCTCTCCATGTCTTGTGAGTTCTGCAAAATCAGGACAGACTTAAGATGTCCTGTCAGCTCTTCCCCACCCCTACCCTGGGAGAAAGAGGACCTTCTAAGTGAGATGAGGAGGAAAGTGCTTAATAAACTTCATATATCCAGGATATGATACCCAAAGCCTCTATAGCTTTTTTTTTTCTTGATTATTCTCTGAGGTCCCAGGGCTGTAGTAGTCCTCCCAGTTACTCTACTGGCTGGAGCTTCAGTGATGGTGCAGTGGAGTAGGGTTTGGGGAGTGAACATTAAGAGATTAGAAGTAGCTGGGATAGGGAAGCTACTAGTGACATGGGGAGTGACAAGCAACATCCCAAATAGCATACTCTACTAATTTCACCATAGGAATTGTCTATTTCTTGCCATTAGGTACTGATCTCCATGAGAGTACTTGCTGTGTTGTTGATACCGTGTCTGTTTTGCTCACCATTGTAGCTTTAGTGCCTCACATAGTGCCAGACAATAAATGCATGTTGGATGAACTCCCTAAACTCCCAATATTAAATTATACAGGCAAGTGCCTGAAAGTTCTTCCTGGCATCTGAATTCTGTTCTTTGGCTATAATTGAAGTGGGTTTAATCACTGCCTGATTCCTTATTAACCACTACCTAACCTTACCAAACTTCGCAGTGTGATACAGATAGTAATAATTCTTGCTTCACATGAGTGCTGAGCATTAACTAGAGAATGTGAAAATAGAAAATGAACAAACTAACATTTATTGAGAAGCTACTACTATTTTCGCATTCTCTACGAAGCTCTAAACATAACCTTCCCCCTACCTAAGCTGACGAAGGGTTTGAAGATGAGGGCTACAGCTAAGTCTTTGGTTCTATATACTTGTCCCCCAGTAGACATGGGGACAGTCAGTGCTACAAGGGGGCAGGACATAGGGAGAAAGAAAAGAGCAAGGAGAAGAGCCAGCGGGGAGACTGGAGATGGTGAGGGAGATAACAGAGAAGAGACTGTTAGAGTTGAAGGCAGATTGGTAGAGACAGGCAGAGAAATAGAGGATAGAGTGGAAAGACCCAGGGGATGATCATGGCAAGGGAAGAATAAGTTTGGGAGTTGTAGAATTCTGGTGCAACGGGCAGGGGTAGAAAGGAGTGGGTGCCGGTTAGAAAGCTAAAGGTGGGAGGAAGCTAAACCTAGTGGGGTAAAGGAGAGAAAGGATAGAAAGGGTATAGACAGAGGAACAAAGGAGAAGCAGGTAGAGCCACAGAGGGAAATGGGGCTTTAGCGAGTCCCCAACACACATATGCC